AATTCATTTTAATGAGAAAAAAGATAAAACAGCAATGAAACAGTTTCAAAACAAGTAGGGCAGTTACATTAAATACACTGTATATTGCTGTCTTCATAGTATTCAGAGGACAAGATGCAGACATGATATTTTATCTAAATAATATTAGTACAAATCTTTCTTCTCAATAAACTAAGAGAAAGTAGCTGTATATCTATCCTATCTTGTGTATACATGTATTTTTTCTTCCTTTTTTCACAACAAAATAGTCTTTTATTTATACTTTTGCAAAGTTAGTAACGTGACACAAGGTTGTCTAGAGACTAATAGCTGATCTTAACCAGATACGACGTTTATCTCAGGACTGAGGTAGTTTGTGTTCTATAGGCACTGAGGCCAAGAGGTATAAAAAGTAAAGCTATATTAATATGCTGAGCTATAAAAGGTTCAAGCCAACAACTTCTGACAATTGTCAGTTGTGCTGATAACTCACTACCATTATGGACTACTGGACTTATTGAGTTATTTTGCTGAATTGAAGCTACAACCTTTAGACTGGCATCAAGCATGAAAAGGTCCTTTAAAGACTACTCCAAATACATCATCTCTAACTGCAATGGAACACCCATCTCTGTCAAAACAAAACAAAAAAGGGAGATATGTTGGGAGCAACAGAAGCTAGGAAATTGATCAAATGTGTGTAAGTGGGACTATCACTTTTTAATAAGCACATTACCAAGTGTTTTCTGAGTTATGGTCCATGACTACGGAAACCATGAACAACAGCATGAATAATCAAACAAACTAAAAATCACAGATCACAGAAGAAAAAGATATTTCATATGGTAAGTGGAAGAGGACTACTTAATTTGCTCTTTTTATGTGAACTTACTACCACCCTGGTAAGCTATAGATTTGGTGGATGCCTTTAAGAGAAACTATAATTACACATCAGAGAAACTTCCAGTGGTCTTGGCTAAGAATAGCAAAACAGACTTTTGTGTAAATCTAATTTTAGCAGTAAGTCATATTGTGTGTGATATGGCTTAGGTATTTCACATTTTTTAAATACAAATTCAGTTTAAAACCATAGCTAATTTCAGTTTCCTATAAATATTTCATTAAAACCTGACAGAAACATAAATCAAGTCCTATTCTCCCCACTGTGCAGTGTGTGAGAGGACAGAGAATAAAAATAAATACTCATTTCCAGGGTGATAATATCCACAAAGTAGGCCACTGGATAGAGTCAATAGCAAAAACAAGTGAAAGAAAATTTGCACATACTGTAAAAAGGGCACACATTCGTTCTATCTTCTCTGGGTTCCTGGGCCCCCCATTCTTGTTCAATCGCACCAGAAATCGCTCACTGCAATATAGGAAAGAAAGAGAAAGAGAAAGTTCAGGAACTACACATCCTAAAACAAAAAGGGAATATATAGGAAATCCCAAACACATAACAGCTTACAATGACAAGTAAGGTCGAAAACACATGTCTACCGGCAGGACACCCTGTTTTTTGTGCCAACTGACACACTATGGACACTCTAAATTGTGTGACAGGTGTTGCTGTTTACTTGCCAGCTGTGGCTGTGTGTCTTTTCTCTCCAAAGTTGTGTGTTTCCTAGGGCAGCAGTGAGGACTGTGTCTTACATTTCTCCCAAGTTTCCACAAAGCACTTGATGTTACTTTCATTAATAAGCATGTGCGTTTTTTGATATAAGAACTCAGATTATCATAAAAATATTCACTGTACTAAAACTGAAAAAATCTATATTACCCAATTTACATCTTCCTTTATATCACACTAGGGAATCATTTTAAGGCGAGAAAAAAACATTATAGGGACTTAACAAAGATTTGAGTAAAATTTTTAAAAAATGATCTACCATGTCTAAACTGCAAAGAGAATTTAATAATCACTAAATATTTAATTTATCAAATAATATAAGCAGTTCTTGAATGCCGTTATTGAAGGACTAAGAAATCCTTAAAAAAGTGTAAGTATCATTTGGAGAAGTATCTCCTCGATCTCTCATCTCCTTCCTGTCCCTACCCAAAATCTCATTCCCATCTCTTCATTCTAAAATTCCTTATTAACTGTAACAAGAAAATTGAATCCTAGTTGACAACAACATATGTATATCTAAAAGAAGCTTAATTCCCTGTATGCTCAGTCATAGGCACTGAATATCACTAAAAGACTAGTATTAAAATACTGTACTAGAGTCCTAGCCCAGGCCCAGTGAGTCCCTGGGAGAGATTCCAGGTACGCTGCGCCGGCAGGACCTGCTGGTCCCAGCCCAGGCGCAGCATGGGTGCAACCCTCTTCTATTCCCTTGGGATGCACCCCACCATTCCGCAGCACCTTCATGCCCTACCCCGCCAGCTACACAAGAATTTCTGTCACGTTCTAGAGACCCCCAGATCCAGTCCTAGCCTAGTCCTTGTGAGTGTGTGGGAGAGCTTCCAGCTACCCTGCACTGGCAGGACTTGCAGGTCCCAGCCCAGGGGTAGCATGGGTGAGACCCTCATCCACCCCCTTGGGAACCCCCCACACCACTCCACAGCAACCCTCTCACCCTGCCCACTGAGAAGTAATTTCTGCTGCATTCTGGGAACCCCCAGATCCAGGCCTAGCAAGGCCTGGTGAGTATGTGGGAGAGCTTCCAGCTACCCTGCACCAGCGGGACTGACCGGTCCCAGCCCAGGCAAATGTGGGTGAGACCCTCTTCCACCCCATTTGGGTCCCCTCAACACTCCGCAGCACTCCCCCACCCCGCCTACCGCATGAGAATTTCTGTTGCGTTCTAGGGAGCCCCAGATCCAGTCCTAGCCCAGGCCTGGTGAGTGTGTTGGAGAGCTTCCTGCTGCCAGCAGGACCTGCCAGTCCCACCGCAGGCACAACGTGTGTGAGACCCTCTTACACCCCCTTGGGACCCCCTGACCACTCTGCAGCACCCTCCCACCCTGGCTGCCCAGTGAGAACTTCTGCTGCGTTCTGGGGACACGCACATCCAGTCCTAGCCAAGGCCTGTGAGTGTGTGGGAGAGCTGCCTCTCCCCCACTACTCCACCTTGTCCCCTCCAGAATCAGCTCAGGCTTGGCATACAGGCCTGAGGTGAAACTGTGCAGCTGCAATCCCTGCAGAGAGAGTAGGACACAACCACCCAGCCAGTCCAGGAGCAGAACATCTTGCCAGAGGGGCACAACAGGTTCACTCCCAAGGGCAGCAACAAGAAGGAGCAGAGCACAGCAGCCAGACCCAAGACAGGCACAAATGAACAAATCCAAACTTCGTAGATCCGCACCTGAACTTCAATAGGTGCTAAGGTTAAAACTGCAACAAAGCTCTACAACAAAGGTCAGAAGACAGTGCTACATAAAAAGCCAACAGGAAGGAACAAATGCAATCTCAGAACCCAAGCCCACCCATAACAAGTGCAGAGGACACAAACACAGAACAAAGTGGGAATCACACAGCTGAAATCAATGAATCAACAGATTCTGAAATAGACAGCAGCAGAAACATATAGAGGAACTCAGATTGGAAATGAAAAAAGAAATGCCTGAATCAGTAACATCAGCAGTAAAGAATCAAATGCAGAAACATATGGAGGAAATCCAATGCCTACCCAGAACAAGTACAGAGGACACTAGCTCAGCTCAAATGTATGAATTAATAGCGTTGATAGTAAATAAGCAACAGCAGAAAGTCATACAGGAACTCAGAGCACAATTCTTTTCTACTAGCTCAGCTCAAATGTACGAATTAATAGCATTGATAGTAAATAAGCAACAGCAGAAAGTTACAGAGGAACTCAGAGTGGAATTCTTTTCTGAAGTAAAAAAAGAATTCTCAGAACTCATAGCATCTGAAGTAAAGAATCAACTACAGAAACATAGGGAGGAAACCCAATCTGAAAAAAACACCGCAGTAAAAGAATTAATAACTGCTTCCAAAGAAGACATGGATAAAAGAAAATATAGAGGAGATTAGAAAAATGATGGATTCCTTGAATAAACAATACAAGAAAGAAATAGATCGCATGAAGCAGAGTCAAAGAGATATAGAGGAATTTAAAATCTCAATCATGGGGCCGAGGAGATGGCTCAGTGGAATAAATGCTTCCCTGGCAGGTGCAAGGGCCTGAGTTCAATTCCTGGTTCCACAAAAGAGGAATTTAAAATCTCAATAACAAGTTTGCAAAACCACTTGAGTGAAAGTGAATAGAGTTTCAGCTATTGAAGACGCTGGTTGAGTTAGTGAAAAGGTAAGAAATGATCTCTTAAAAACAACTAGGATGCAGGAAAGAATAATCCATCAACTGCAAGATGATGCAAAGATGAACAATGTGAGACTAATAGGTATCAATGAGAAAGAAGGAGTCAATACAGAGCACATTAAAAAAAACATGGGCAGAAGTAATAGCAGAAAACTTCCCAAAAATGAGGAAACAATCTGACATTCAGGGAGCCGCAGCACACAGAACACCAAGTAACTGCAACCCAATTAAAAACACACTGAGACATATAATAGTCAAGATCCCAGAAATTCAGCACAAGAATAATCTACTGAAAGCCACTAGAGAAGAGAAGCAGATCACATTAAAAGGAAAACCCACCAGAATTACAGCTGACTTCTCTTCACAACCCATGAAGGCAAGAAGAGCATGGAGCAGAGTACTTCAAGTCCTCTATGAAAATAAATTCCAGCCCAGACTACTATACCCTGCAAAACTCTCTTTCAAGTTTGATGGAGAAGTGAAATACTTCCATGACAATGAACAACCAAAGAATTTCATGATGACAAAGCCAATCCTACACAGACTACTGAAAGATGTTCTAGAGAGGGACCAAAATGTTCAGAACTCCACAAATGAGATCAGAAGCAACCAACTAAATAGGGTAAGCAATTAAACACAGGAGAAAAAGGAGTAACCAACAACAGGTAAATAACATGTCAATTTTAAGTCAATATATCTCAATTCTAACCATCAATGTAAATGGACTCAATTCACCAATTAAGAGAAACAGAGTGGCACAGTGGATTAGGAAACAAAATCCAACAATATTCTGTATACAAGAAACACATTTAACTCATAAAGACATTCATAGGCTGAAGTCAAAGGATGGAAAACAATACTACATGCCTCAGCACCTCAGAAAAATGCAGGGGTAGCAATCCTATCCTCATACAGTCTCAACTTCAAACCAACAATGGTCAAGCAAAATAAAGAAGGCCACTATACACAGGTTAGGGGAAAAATTCAAGAGGAAGAGGTAACACTCATAAATATGTACGCACCAAACACGGGAGCACCCAACTATATAAAGAAAATCTTAATGGACATGAAAAGGCTAATATTCAATACCTCAATCTTAACAGGAGACCTTAACACCCCCTTATCCCAGGAAGATATGTCAACCAGAGAAAAAATTAGCAAATAAATGACAGAATTGAATCAGAGCTTGAAACAAATGGACTTGGTGGACACATACAGAGTATTCCACCCAAACACAGCTGAATACAAATTTTTCTCTGCTGCACATGGCTCATTTTCTAAAATCAACCACATAATGGTCCATAGGTCATGGTTAAGTCTATGCAAGAAAACAGAAATCATCCCATGCATATTATCTGA